TGACTAAAATTAAGAGGACATAAATCTGAAAATACCCACTGCTAACAAGGATGTGGGGCATCCTTGTACTGAATTGGGGATGCAAAAAAAAAAAAAAAAAGGCCACTTTGGAGAAAAGTTTGGCAATTTCTTATAAAGTTAGATACGTTTAACCATATGACCCAGCAATGCCACTGCTAGGTATTTTCCCAAGTAAAGTGAAACTTATGTTCACACAAAACCTTTGTCTGGAAACACCAAAAACTCGAAACAACCTAATTTTACCTCAACTAAGAATGAATAAACAAATTGTGATACATCTCTACAATGGAATACTACTCAGCAATAGAATGGAATAAGCCATTGATAGCACCATGAATGAATCTCAGATTATGCTAAGAATAATCGACAATTCTATTTAAATGATATTCTGGAAAAGGGAAAATTATAGGGACAGAGAACAGATCAATAATTGCTCAGGGTTGAGAGTGAGAAACGGGTGTAGCTACAAAAGGATACCATGAGGGAATTTTTGGGGGGATTGTGATGGAATTTTTCTGTATCTTGATTTTCAAAAGTGTTACACGAGCCTGTGCATCATCAAAATTTATATACCTGACTAACAAAAAGTGTGTATTTTACTGTACATAAATTAAAAAAGAAATTTAAAAAAGAAATGATGACATCTCACTAAAGAAGGCTATACAGATGGCAAATAAGCATATGAAAAGATGCTCAAGATTGTATGCCATTGTTGTTGTTGTTGTGTGCTGCTGGGTTGATTCCAACCCATAGTGACACTATATGACAGGAGTAGAACTGCTCCATAGGGTTTCCTGGGCTGTAATCTTTTACAGGAAAAGATTGCCATGTCTTTTCTCCTGCGAAGCTGTTGTTGGGTTTGAACAACTGAACTTTCGGTTAGCAGCCTAGCACTTAACCATTGCACCACCATAGCAAATTACAAATTAAAACAACAATGAGATACCACTACACATCTGTTAGCATAGCTAAAATCCAAAACACTGACAGCACCAAATGCTAGTCAGGTTGTTGAACAATAAGACGTCTCATTCTTTACTGATGGGAATGCAACATGATACAGTCACTCTGGAAGAGTGTGTGGCAATTTTCTATAAAGCTAAACATAGGCTTATGACATGATCCAGCAATTTTGCTCCTAGATATTTGCACAAAAGAGCTGAAGACCCGTGTCCACATCAAAATCTTCGCACAAATGTTTATAGTAGCTTTATTCATAATTGCCCAAAACTGGAAGCGACCAAGATGCTGTGAATATTTTTAGATTGGTTTTCCAGAGCTTTGCCTTACTGATTTGTAAAGCCCCCAAAGACACAAATCATCCCTTAATTAGAATTTGAATGATGCATACATATTAGCCAGTTAACTAACTAGGGTGCTAGTTACCTATTTTATCTTATTAACTTCCAGCTACCTTTTAGGAAGCAATAACTGTTTAGTGAAATCCATTGCTTATTTAAGGAAATTGACAAAGAAATTGTATAAAGTCTCAAGTCAGAACTAAAATGAATGTCAATTATAATTTTTATTGTAATGGCCTTGAGATTTAGACTTACTCTCTACCATCTGAGACAACCTGTACAATTTTACATACCTGTGTGTGCCAGAGAAGATTCTGAAGGATGGCAGACTCCAGAAACGTGCCTTCATTGGATTAGACACCTTCAAACGGTTGGCAAAACTTCATCCTGTTGATGATCCATGCATCATTGACAGAGGATTTTAGAACCCCCAAAATGACTTCCTCCAGCCAGATTTTGGTGCTATGTAAAAATGAGAGAGATAGAGTAGGAGACAGCTATATATAGAGAGAGGGAAAAGGAGAGGCAGAAGGAAAGTATAAATATGGATATAGCAAAATGAGTGACATCTTTGAATAGCTTTGAGCTCTGGAATTGAATGCATTAAAATAAAAAGTTCTCTCCAGGAGATTTATTGACAGCTGTGCATGGTACACAAAAACATATATTCACATACTACTGTTTTTATTGTTGCAAGTTTCAGTTTGTGGGCCAAAGATAGTAAAAGTGGTTCACACTGCAAAAGATATTTAATGCCAGTTGACACAAGCTACATTTTCAACTCCATGCAATTTGTATTTGACTGTTTTTGCTTTCAGTAGCTTCTGTTTTATTTTTTCTTGTATAAATAATGACAAATTAGAGATAATATACAACATTTAATTGAACTATGGCCAATACTTAATTTTGTAGCTCCAGGGGGCAAAAGATTTGTAACTATTATATAAATCTACAAAAATTTCAGTTTTAATTATTTCATGGTAATTGTTAGTGTGCAATCTTAGCTTCATTTATTGCCAACACTCCCTTAATTGCATATGCCATTTTATTTTCAGTGGATCTTGCATTCAAGAGGATTTGCATCTTCATCATTTGTAAGCTCCCATTATGAGCAACCAGATTATGGATGTATTCGTAATTCATTTTCATAACCATTTGCCTCCTTTTTATAAAAAATAAAAATATAAGCAATATGGAGTCTACAATTTTTTAAAAATTTGTTGAATTGTTCTTAGATTATTCATTCATTAAACAAATATTTATTGAGCACCTGTGTTGTGCCAAGACTTTTTCTAGGAAGTGAGACAATAGTGAACAAAACAAGTGACACATCTCTTTGTTCATGGAGCTTACTTTTTAGGTGGGAAGGAGGGGCAGGGAAGGGAGTAAGGAGACAAACACTAAGTAAAAAAATAGTGAAATGTATTTTATGTCAAGTGGTGATATATACTATGGGCAACAATAAAACAGAGAACTGAGATAAGAAGTGCCAGAGGTGAGGACAGGATGGAGAAGTTTTAAATAGGATGGTCACATAAGATCTCACTGAGAATGTATTATCTGAGCAAAAAAAAAGGAGTTGAGGGAGCAAGCCACGTGTGTTTTGGAAGGAACCGTAAATGCAAAGGTCTTAAGGCAGAAGTAAGCCTGATTTGTGTAAGGAAGATCATGGGAAGAACTTTTGCTTTCACTTCACGTAGGATAGAAACCCAGTGAAAGATTTTGAGTAGAGGAGATATGAGCTGACTCACATATTTAAAGACGCCACTTTGAGGACTAAAGTGCACCTGACTCAAGTCATGGTCTTTTCAATTGCCTCATATGCATGTGAAAGCTGGACAATGAATAAGGAAAACTGAAGAATTGATGCATTTGAATTATGGTGTTAGTGAAGAATATTGAATATACCATGGACTGCCAGAGGAAGGAACAAATCTGTTTTGGAAGAAGTGCAGCCAGAATGCCCCTTAGAAGCAAGGATGGTGAGACTTCGTCTTACACTGGACATGGTATCAGGAGGGACCAGTCCCTGGAGAAGGACATCATGCTTGGTAAAGTAGAGGGTCAGCAAAAAAGATGAAACCCTTAATGAGAAGGATTGACACAGTGACTGTAACAATGAGCTCGGGCATAAAAATGATTGTGAGGTTGGCACAGGACTGGACAGTGTTTTGTTCTTTTGTACATAGGGTTGCTATGAGTCGGAACCAGCTTAACAGCACCTAACAACAACAACAGTAAGGCAAGGGCAGTAACAAGGAGACAAAGTAAGGAGCCATTACTATAATTCAGAAGGTGATGATTTTCCCTTGAACCAGAAGAGTAGTAGTTGTAGAAGTGGTAAGAAGTAGCCAGATACTGGGTGCATTTTATAGATAAAGCAAAGATTTGCTGATGGATGGCGTGTTGGGAGTTAGAGAAATAAATGAGTCATGGATAATTCCAAATGTCCTTCCTGAATGATTGGAAGAATGGAGTTGTTATTAATTAGATGGGGAAGAATGTGAGAGGAGAAAGTTAGGCCAGAGAGAAACCAGATGTTTTGTTTGTATTGACCTGAGTGTTCTTGCCATGAGAGTATGGGGAAACATGAGAAATGCCAGGGGAAGACTATAATGATTGACCTTGTTGAGTAACCTCTGTAAGAAAGGAAATGAGGACCTGATGAGGATGAAATGAATTGAAAAGATTTAGAACCATTGGATTGTAGGGTCTGCTGCAGTCAAAAATTGTTAAGAACTGAGATACTACAGGAAGTGAGCCAGAAAGATAAGAGGTGCTGGTTGGAGAGTGTGACACAAAATTAAGATAAAGGAAGTATTGTCATTATCAGTAATGATAATACTTAGGAGCAGTAGCAGAGATAGTTCGTCAGTGTTCTCCTTCAAGATCATCAAGAAGAAGATATCAAGAAACTGGGAGGCAAGATGAAAGTGAATATGGAAATTTTTAAAAATGACAGTGATCCAAGAGCTAAAATCAAGGATTGAGGGGGAGTGCACGGGTGTCTGTAGATGACTGCAGTAAGTTGGCAGTGAAGGATATTGCCTGATGTCAAGAGATGCAAAACTGGAGTGTTTAGGAAGGTGAGATGGAGAATTATCTGAAAGTGTCAATAGAAGCAAGAAGGATACTTAGTTCACCTTCAAGTGCTGTGTTGGGAGGAATGTGGGATGGAAAACAGGCACCATCTGAAAGGGCTGCAGGGAAAGTAGTTCCAGGGCTGATCCAGCTTCCAATTAAAAAGGATAGCATATGTTACTGTATGTAATATTTGACACTTGTACAATTATCCTTCTAATTATAGGCTCTTAGTTCAACATTAAAGTGGGTTACTTACTTCTCGGGGACATGGAAGGTTTGGTTTTGGGGCTTGGCAGATCTCATTAAAATTCAAAAGTTCTGGCATGGTTTAGTGTGTGTGTGTGTGTGTGTGTGTGTGCATGTGTGTGTGTGAATCTCTCTCTCCCTCCTTCCCTTCTTCCCTCCTTCTCTGTCTCCCTTCCCCCTACATTCATCTCTATCACTCTCTAATAAGGTTACGTAAAGGGTGATATCACCATAGAGAGGAATTGGGAGAAAAGTGCTTTGTAGAACAAATGTTATCATTTTAAGAAATACAAGAATCTTTCCAGTTGTGCCTGCATCTCACTTCTTGCTAATTTTTCAATTTAACAGATGAAAGTTTACAGTGTCAAGAAGCATCAAATACCAAGCAGGAACTATGTTATCCGGATACAAATCTCTGCCAATTTGACTCTACAGATGAAGGATTAAGGTGTAAGTGTTAAACTGAGATGCTTGCTTTGTTGGTGTGTAGGTAATTTATGAGACTCAGAGACCACTAATAGGAATACTCACTGGCCAATCTTTGTTGACATTAATGTCTTTGATTTAGCTGGAGTGTTATTGGATATCTGTGGTTTATTAAAAATTTTCACAATACTCAATACATCAATTTAAAGGTCATAATTTTTTCTAAAATGACTGTATTGAAGATCTTGAAATTATATACATTGTTTCTCCTTTAAAATTTCAATGTGATTATGAATAAGTATATCATTTAAACTAAGTATAAATCTGTAAAGTAGATAAGGTCTGATGTTGTGCCATTTAAAAAATTGAAACGGACTTTGGCACGAGAAAGATTGGGAACCCCCTTTTTTATGTCACCTGATCTCAATTGGGGGCCACACATCTGGATCAATTGAGGAACTTTCGAAGGATAGTGTTGCTGGTACATTGTCAAGCTTATTGAATCAAATTTTCCAGGTATGCATTTGTGTATGTGTGTGTTTGAGCCTCTTAGTGGATTCCGACATAAACTGTGGTTAAGAAACCACTCTATTAGACTGTGTTAGTCCACCAAGATTTTTAAAAAGACATTTTTCTCCCCATCATTAGCGTGTCAAGCCTGTGAGTTTGAATTTGACATGTGTGACTGGTCATCAGATGTATCTACTGGACAAATTTCCTGGACTCGCACAAAAGCAAGAGAAGTTCCTGCATTAGAATCTACACCTCATCAGGATCAGAGTGGTGATGAAGAAGGTAGAAAATAAAAAAAAAATAGTATCTATTCTATGTTGATTATCCATAATTTGTTATGAAGCACACGGTCAAATACATTTGCATAGTCAATAAAACACAGGTAAACATCTTTCTGGTACTCTCTGCTTTCAGCCAGGATCCATCTGACATCAGCAATGATATCCCTAGTTCTACATCCTCTTATGAATCCCACCTGATATTCTGGCAGTTCCCTGTCAATATACTGCTGCAGCTGCTTTTGAATGATCTTCAGCAAAATTTTACTTGCCTGTGATATTAATGATATTGTTCTACAATTTCCACATTCGGTTGGATCACCTTTCTTGGGAATAGGCATACATATGGATCTCTTTCAGTCGACTGGCCAGGTAGCTGTCTTCTAAATTTCATGGCATAGACAAGTGAGTACTTCCAGCCTTGCATCCATTTGTTGAAATATCTCAACTGATATTCTGTCAATTCCTGGAAACTTGTTTTTTGCCAATGTCTTCAGTGCAGCTTGGACTTCTTCCTTCAGTACCATCGGTTCCTGATCATATGCTACCTCTTGAAATGGTTGTATGTCGACCAATTCTTTTTGGTATAATGACTCTGTGTATTCCTTCCATGTTCTTTTGATACTTTCTGTGTCATTTAATATTTTCCCCATAGAATCCTTCACTATTGCAACATGAGTCTTGAATTTTTTCTTCAGTTCTTTCAGCTTGAGAAATGCCGAGCGTGTTCTTCCCTTTTGGTTTTCTATCTCCAGCTCTTTGCAAGTGTCATTATAATACTTTACTTTGTCTTCTCCAGCCACCCTTTGAAATCTTCTGTTCAGTTGTTTGACTTCATTATTTCTTCCTTTTCTTTTAGCTACTCGACCTTCAAGAGCAAGTTTCAGGGTCTCTTCCGACATCCATTTTGGTCTTTTCTTTCTTTTTTTTTAAAAAATAACCTTTTTATTTTAGAATAGTTTTGGATTTACAGGAAAGTTACAAAGATAGTACCAAGAGTTTCTGTATACCCCTCACCCCATTTTCCCTATCGTTAACATCTTACATATCCATGGTACATTTGTTGTAACTATGAAACCACATCGGTACATTTCTGTTATTTAGATTTCACTAGTTTTTCTCCACCATCATATGTCTGTCAGTGTGTTGTACTGTGGTGGCTTGCATGTTGCTATGATTCTGGAAGCTATGCCACCAGTATTTCAAATACTAACAGGGTCACCCATGGTGGACAGGTTTCAGTGGAGTGTCCAGACTAAGAGAGACCAGGAAGAAAGGCCTGGTGATATACTTCTGAAAATTAGCTGATGAAAACCCTATAGATCACAACAGAGTATTGTCCAATATAGTGCTGGAAGATGAGCCCCCAAGTTCGGAAGGCATCCAAAATACACAGTGGCCACAACAATGGTCTCAAACATACCAACAATCGTGAAGATAACACGGGACCTGGCAAAGTGTTGCTCTGTTATACATAAGGTCCCCATAAGTAAGAGCCAACATGATGGTAATCAACAAGTTTTTCCCCTAATGCCCTCTTTCTGTTCTAGGATTCCACCCAGCATTACATTCAGCCAGCATATCTCCTTGGTCTCTGGTCTGTTACTTCCTCAGACTTTCCTGGTTGTTCACGACCGTCACGGTTTTGAAGAATGCTGATCAGGTGTTTCGTAGAACGTACCATTTGATTCGTCTGATGTTTCCTCATGATCAGACTGGGGTCATAGGGTTTTGCCACAAAGATGAAGAAAGCCACAATGATGAAGTGCCTGTCTCATTACATCATATCAGCGGTACGTGTTTTCAATTTGAATGCTTCCTGACAATGCTGACTTTGGTCACCTGGCCAAGGCAGGGTTTGCCAGATTTCCCCACTGTAAAGTTACTTTTTCCAACTTTTCAATAATCTACCATTTGGAAGCAAGTCACTAATCCCAGCCCACACTCAAAGGGGCAGGGTAGGGGGGGGATTAGGCTCCACCTCCTGAAGGGGGTCTATCTATGTATATTATTCATAATTGTTCTGGAATGAAGATTTGTCATTCCCCCCCGCCCAATTTATTTATTGATCCAATTGTTCATTTGTACCAGTATGGACTGATGGATATTTATTTTATGCTTTGGGTTATAATCCAACACTATGTTATTTATGACCCCTGGAGGCACAAGAGGTAAGCGCTCAGCTGCTAACCAAAAAGTTGGCAGTTCAAATCCACCCAGCGGCTCTGCAGGAGAAAGACCTGGCAATCTGCTTCCACAAAGATCACATCTTTCCTGTCTTTTTAATGACCTCTTGCTTTCTTCATGTAGGATGTCCTTGATGTCATTCAACAACTTGTCTGGTCTTCAGTCATTAGTGTTCAGTGCATCAAATCTATTCTTGAGATGGTCTCTAAATTCAGGTGAGATACACTCAAGGTCATACTTTGGCTTTCATGGACTTGTTATAATTTTCTTCACTTTCGACTTGAACTTGCATATGAGCAATTGATGATCTGTTCCGCAGTTGGCCCCTGGCCTTGTTCTGACTGATGATATTGAACTTTTCCATTGTCTCTTTTCACAGATGTAGTCGATTTGATTCCTGTGTATTCCATCTGGTGAGGTCCGTGTGTATAGTCGCTGTTTATGTCGGTGAAAAAGTTATTTGCAATTAAGAAGTTGTTGGTCTTGCAAAATTCTATCATGTGATCTCAGGCATTGTTTCTATCACCAAGGCCGTATTTTCCAACTACTGATCCTTCTTCGTTTCCTGCTTTCACATTCCAATCGCCAGTAATTATCAGTGCAGCCTGATTGCATGTTCAATCAATTTCAGACTGCAGAAGCTGGTAAAAATCCTCTATTTCTTCATCTTTGGCCTTAGTGGTTAGTGTGTTAATTTGAGTAATAGTTGTATTAACTGTTCTTCCTTGTAGGCATATGGATATTACCCTATCACTGACAGCATTGCACTTCAGGATAGATCTTGAAATGTTCTTTTTGGTGATGAATGCAACGCCATTCCTCTTCAAGTTGTCATTCCTAGCACAGTAGACCATATGATTTTCCAATTCAAAATGGACAATACCAGTCCATTTCAGCTCACTAATTCCTAGGATATTAATGTTTATGCGTTCCATTTCATTTTTGATGATTTCCAATTTTCATAGATTCATACTTCGTAATTCCACGTTCTGATTATTAATGGATGTTTTCAGCTGTTTCTTCTCATTTTGAGTCATGCCACATCAGCAAATGAAGGTCCCGAAAGCATGACTCCATCCAAGTCATTAAGGTCGACTCTACTTTGAGGAGGCAGCTCTTCCTCAGTCGTCTTTTGAGTGCCTTCCAACCTGGGGGGCTCATTTTCTGGCACTATATCAGACAGTGTTCCACTGCTATTCATAAGGTTTTCACTGGCTAATTCTTTTCAGAAGTAGACTGCTGGGTCCTTGTTCCTAGTCTGTCTTAGTCTGGAAGCTCAGCTAAAACCTGTCTGCCATAGGTGATCCTGTTGGTATCTGAATACTGGTGGCATAGCTTCCAGCGTCACAGCAACATACAAACCCCCACAGTACAATAAACTGACAGACATGTGGAGATTAAGAATATTGAATATACTATGGACTGCCAAGGGATCAAACAGATCTGTCTTGGAAGAAGTACAAGCAAAATGCTCCTCAGAAGCAAGGATGGCAAGACTACATCTTACATACTTTGAATATGTTATCAGGAGGGATAAGTTCCTGGAGAAGGACATCATGCTTGGTAAAGTACAGGGTCAGTTAAAAAGAGTAAGACCCTCAACAAGATGGATTGACACAGTGACTACAACAGTGGGCATAACAACGATTGTGAGCATGATGCAGGACCGGGCAGTGTTTCATTCTGTAGTACATAGGGTCGCTATGAGTTGGAACAGACTCAATGGCACCTAACAACAACAATAACATTATGTATTGGAGCCCTGGTGGCGCAGTGGTTAAAGAGTTCATCTGCGAAGCAAAAAGCTGGCATTTGAGTTCACCAGCCATTCTTTGAAAACCGTATGGGGCAGTTCTACTCTGTTATATAGTGTTGCCCTGAGTCAGAATTGACTTGATGGCAACAGGTTTTTTTTTGTTTTTTTTTTAAATATGTCAGTTTTAGAATTGTACTTTATTATGACCAGTATTAAGACATTCAGTTAGGGCTCACAGTGAACATAGTGTGTGTTATTAGAAGTTTATTATGCCATAGACATTGAAAGTGGAAAAAAAAAAAAGCAAAACAAACATACAAACAAAAACTCTGTTTCCACATAGTGTAAAGGGAGAATTATACTAGATTTACTATTTTAATTTTCTAATTTTTTTATTTTCTTATTTTCAGGAGATATTAGATGTTTGTGGAGAAAAAAGAGGAAAAAAGACTGAAAGCCTTTTTATCAAGATTACTAGCTCTCTCTGTCACTATCGTGTTGTTAACCAGTTGTTTCCTCTTATTCTACCATCTTACTTCTGCGTTTTGTGTTTTTCTCATCATTGCTAGTTTTCTTTCTTTGTTAGAGGGGACATTGTTAGTTGTTGAATTTTTTCCTGCTGGCCCGAAAGCTTTATTTAATATCTCTTATTTTTATGGCGGGAGCCCTGGTGGTGCAGTTGTTAAGAGCTATGGTTGCTAACCAAAAGGTTGTCAGTTTGAATCCACCAGCTGCTCCTTGGAAACCCTATGGGGCAGTTCTACTCTGTCCTG